GTCAGTGCACGTGATTCAATGACAGCTACTAGGCAAAAGGTTGATGCATCAAACCCCTCCTTGGAAGACAGGCCTGACGATCTGTTTCTGAAAGGTCACTTTCAGATGGGACCACAACGAACAAAACAACCTGTTTCAGGCACCATGATATGTTGCCTCTTCTTGTTTTCTCATGGGCTTCATAGGGATCTCACTGTCGGCAGGAGAACAGAGAATTGCTGGTTTTAGTTGCTGACTCATAATGTCAACTCCTGGAAACCTTACATATAACAGAATGAAACAGCCCTGGGAAATCTGTCGGCAAGCTGGATTCACACTCAGGGCAACCCCATGTGGTCCATGTGTTCCCGGAGTAGAACTCTGGTTTCCCAGGCCTGAGTTTCTGGAGATCGATTGCAAGGATTTTCTTGCTTCTTTTTCTCATGTCTTTTAATATTTTATTGTGAATTGGGTGAGGATTTACATAGCAAATCAATTTTCCACATAACAATGAATACACATGTTATTCTCCTGCTCTGTGCTTCATACTATCACATACATAGTTCCTTCTTTCCTACCCTTCTGAACTTTGTCTTTGGGTACATGCTGCACTTTTGATCTCAAATGGTTGATTGTTCTAAGGAGTTTGAACATGTCCCGTTATGACCTGTTTATTGTTTGCTTGGATATTGAGCCATGGAGGTGAGTTCAACCCCAGACCGGATGGGTGGCTAAGGGGGTTCCACAAGTCTCTAGCTGACCAGTAAGCCTGATCTCTTGTTTGTTTGTTTTTAATATATTTTTTTGTCCAATAGTTTTCTCCCACTCTATGTAGGACCTTCTTTCAGAGCATTTGATAGTGGTAGTCAGGCACATCTAGCTCTTCCGGTCTGAGTCATGGAGATGAATGTTCATCAGTCCTTAGAATGAGTTGTTTGCATGGGTCGATTAGTTTCATCAAGCGTCTTCCTCTGAATGAGGAGAGACCAGGAGCTGTACCCTAGATGACTATTCATGCGCTTTTAAGACCCCAATTACTACTCACCAAAGTTTCATGTCTTTGGGGGCTCCATGATACCACTTAACCTTGTTGTCCCCTGAGATTATGGCCCTGCGCCCCCAAATCCAGAGATTCATTACATTCCCTCAGAGTGCTTAGTTATGTCTAAGAAGTTTTTATAAGTTTGTTCCTGGTATGCTCCAACACATTCTTAGATATATTTGCAGCATAGGTACCATATATAACGAGTATAAGCCGACCCAAATATCAGCCGAGGCACCTAATTTTACCACAAAAACTGCATAAAAGTGTGCTGAAAAATGGCTTATACATGAGTATATACGGTAAATGCCCATGTAGAAATAGCCTCTGGCAAACCTGTATAATATATGAGTAGAGTTCCACTCTCCTTCCCACACTGGGTCAAGGATAGACGTGTCTAACTGTGCATCTACTGATAGAACACCACTGTTGAAAGGTTGTGTATATAACAATATCTACCATGGTGGTCCAAGCCTTTCAAGGCTTCCCTGGGTGGACTCAAATACCCAGGCTTTCAGTTAGCAGTTAAGCACATTAACCATTTGCACGACCCCCAGAATTTAAAACTGGAAGTAAGTTGACAGCATTGGAGCTACATACGTGCTGTGCATTTCCTTACCATTGTCCCATTAGCCTTGGCCAGATTCCTTGATCATTGCTGAGATTGGCCTGTTCTGGTAGTGGCAATACATTAAAAACAACAGTGATTACAGCATTCACCAGAAAAAGGTATCATTCTTTTTTTTTTTTTAATCATTTTATTAGGGGCTCATACAACTCTTATCACAATCCATACATACATCCATTGTGTAAAGCGCATTTGTACATTAATTGCTCTCATCATTCTCAAAACATTTCCTCTCCACTTAAGTCCCTGGCATTAGGTCCTCATTTTTCCCCTCCCTCCCCACTCCGCCCTCCCTCATGAGCCCTTGATAATTTATAAATTATTATTTTGTCATGTCTTGCCCTGTCCGACGTCTCCCTTCACCCACTTTTCTGTTGTCCGTCCCCCAGGGAGGAGGTCACATATAGTTCCTTGTAATCGGTTTCCTCTTTCCTACCCACTCTCCCTCCACCCTCCCAGTGTCGCCACTCACACCACTGGTCCTGTAGGGCTCATCCGCCCTGGGTTCCCTGTATTTCCAGTTCCTATCTGTACCAGTGTACATTCTCTGGTCTATCATTCTTTACTATTATCATTCTTTTGTATTTTGATTCACCAGAACATTTATTGCTTGTTATCTGTAAGTTAAAGAGCTCGGGTGGCACTGTAGGTGAAAGGTTGGACTTCTAACCATAAGGTCAGTGGTTCAACCCTACCATCTGCTCTACGAGATAAACATGTGGCTGTCTGATCCTTTACAAACATACAAAGCCTCAAAAACCCTATATTGGGTTGCTGTGAGTCAGAAAGCACCCTGTTGGTGTGGTGGTGACACATTGGGCTGACAACTGCAAGGTCAGGAGTTTGAAACCACCAGTTGTTCCGTGGGAGAAAGACAGGGCTTGGTACTCCCATAAAGAGGTACAGTCTGGACAACTCGCCAGCAGTAGTTCTGCTCTTTCCTAGAGGGCTGGCTCCATGACAGTGGGTTTCGTTTTGCTTTGTTATTTCCTCTCTGGAACTCCTTTAGGAATGTCTCTGGATTTCAGAAGATCTCTATGCTGGCAATGAATAATCCTAGCTGGGATGGAAGATATTGTGGGACGGCAGATGTTCAGGAGTTGTTGAATTGACATTTAGTAGTAACAAGACCTGACTCAGAGCCGTAGGGATGGAAATGCTGGTGATTTTTTAACTCTTCATTCCTGTGAAGGCAGTTCTCTGAGGCAGAGTGCAGGTGATGGTATTTGATAAAAAAATTAGGTCACTGCTTGCCTTAGCAGTCCAACTACTATAAATCGAATAGCACAAAAAAGGTGGACACAACGCCTGATAAATGATGGTATGCAAATCTGTGAAGCATTTTTATCTATTAAAAATAATGTAAGGTGCCTGGCTTCCCCTACTATTGTTCAAATTTCAAGCTTATTTTCCATTTTAATTAGTGTGTCTATATCCAGGTAGCTTTCACAGTACAATGCAATAAACTTCTGGGTCCATCAGTGAGTTAGTTAATTGTGCCAGCCTGGCTGATAATCACATGTGGGGCTGGTTGAAAGGCAGAGGGATAAATGGGTGGTGAGCCTCGCCTTTCTAGTTCTTGGGTCTCTTGTTTTGTGATGGTTGCACCAGGTGCAGCTGCCTTAGCAATTCCCTGCTTCAGCTTGCAAGATTGACTTCCTACAAGACATCCCCAAGGAGAAGCTACATGGACCTATCCCAATGCAGCCCTGGGTGCTGGAGCAGCCGTTTGGAGACCCCTGCTAGTGCTGAGATGCTTGTTCATTCACTGTCTCAGCTTTCCTCCTGCAGTCGGCATCATTGCCTCTGTTTTGTGAGGTGGAGGGCTTTGTGGACTGGCGTTGGGTTAATGTTGGACTTGTGGGCTTGGGCAGCATTGGGTTGGGATGTTTTGGTGATGCACATTTTCTTTACATAAAACTCTCTCTTATACATGAGTTGCTGTGGATTTGTTTCTCTAAAGTACCCAGACTAATACAATCAGTAAAACAATAAATGGGTAATGTAGGGCTTGGATCATTGTGGTGTTAGTGAAGAATATTGAATTTACTGTAGACTGCCAGGGAAAAAGGAACCTATAAGTCTTATAATAAATATGATGGGGATTTTCTGAGAAGCAAGGAGAGTGAAAGTGGTTCTACTTATTTGGGCACGACATCAGGAAAGACCAGTCAATATAGAGGGACATCATGTTTGGTAGAGCAGAATCTCATTAAGGTAAAAGTACTGAGGGTCTATGAAAGTGATCATGGGGACTTTCAACAAGATGGCAGACTAGGCAGACCTCCTACCTAAACCCTCTGCAACAAAGACACAAGAGACAGATGAAACTGATATGGATGGTATTCTGGGAAACCCAGCTCCAGAGGAAAGGGTGGAGAAGTGGACTGACTAGTGACTAAGAGAAGAAGCTGCACAAAAGTGGCCAGAGAGGAAATAGATGTGTGAATTGTCAGCTGACTTGATGCCATCATTAGTGCTCCTTGCTCTGAATCAGCACAAGCCCCCATACTGGTGACGGATGACATCAAGGTCAATGGGCATACTATGGTTCACAAAGACAAAATTCTATGTCCTGATTTGGTACATGGTGACTGGGATCCTTGAAAGTCCATGAGTAGCCATCTGAGGTGCAACCATTCATCTATTCTTCCCATCCAGAGACAGGAAGAGCAGTGGAAATGAAATGATATGCTCATGGAAACAACTGGTCCAGTGAACTAATGAAAACCCAAAAGATTAGTGTTTATAACCCTGAGACCAGAAGAGCTCGGTGACACCCAGAGATGCCTTCTAACAGCTCTGAAAAGGATCACATTAGAATGTCCTGGAAGACAGTGGGAGAAAAATGTGGAACAAAATTCAAAATTATAAAAGAAACCAGGTTTACTGGTTAGAGAGAGAGACCCAAAACTCTGGCCCTGCAGGCCTGAAACTGATCAACCATTTAAGATCAAAAGGCAGCATTCACTCAAGAACAAAGGCCAAAGGGTTAGGGAAAACAGGAATGGAAACAGACTGACCTGGAGGAGGCAGGACATGTGACATACAGTGAGGGGATTGTGACGGGTGAGTTGAAACAAAATGTGTATGAATTGTTGGATGTAAAACTGAAGATATGCTCTGCAAACCTGCATCTAATTCACAATAAAAAATAAAATAAAACTCGATTCATACTTTGGCCTTGGGTTGTCTTGTATGTGTTTAAAATCCTTTTCGAAATGATAATAATTTTGATTCATTTTCAGAAAAAGATTGCATATCAGAAAACAGGCTTAACAAGTAGTATAAATAGCCAAATAATTAAAATCAGACATAACTTGTATGAAAATTATCTTTTTTTTTTTTTAGTTTAGAGACAGAAGAAGAAGAGCAATATCTTACATCAAGCTATATTAACATCTCCACTGACTCACTGCGAGGTGGCAAGAAGTATGTGGTTTGGGTTCAGGCTACAAATGTGTTGGGCACAGAGCAATCGGAACAGCTGCAAATTCACCTGGATGATATCGGTAAACACTGACCCACCCTCTCCTGGTCTTTAATACAAACAACTAATTTGTGTTGATGAAGTCCCCCTAAAGTTTTTTATGATCATACTAAAGAAAAAAGTACCCATGATTCTAAAACCCAGAGACAATTTAGAGAGAAGTACTGTTATCATTTACATGCTTGTATATCCTCCCAATCTTATTTCTACCAGTGTGTGTGTACTTTTACAAAGATCTATTAAGAGTTTTTTTAATGTACCAAGCATTACTCTAAGTGTTTGAGAGAATAAGATAGACAAGGTAATATATATAATATGAATTTTATATTAATAAATATAATATGAAATCTACTAGGGAAGATGGGAGGAAAAAGGATTGCATAATGAGTTATATCGTGGAAAGTTCAGGGTACCAAAGAATTACACTATGTACAATATTTTGCCAATGAAACAAAAAGAATTGGGTGACCTTCAACCATTTCAGGAGGTAGCATATGAGCAAGAACCAATGGTACTGAAGGAAGAAGTCCTAACGTCACTGAAGCCATTAGTGGAAAATAAGGCCCCAGAAACGGACAGAATACCAATGGAAATACTTCAGTGTTAGATGAAGCACTGGATGAACACATTAGTCTATGTCAAGAAATTTGGAAAACAGCTACCTGGCCAACCAACTGGAAAAGATCCATGTTTGGGCTCATTCCAAAGAAAGGTGTCCTAATAGAATGTGGAAACTATTGAACAGTATCATTAATAGCACACGCAAATAACATTTTGCTGAAGATAATTGAAAAATAGTTGTAGCAGTACATCAACAAAGAGCTGTCAGAAATCCAACACAGATTCAGAAGATGATGTAGCACGAGAGATATCATTGCTGACATCAGATGGATCTTGGCTGAAACTAGAGAATATCAAAAAGATGTTTACTCGTGTGTGTGTGTGTGTGTGTGTGTGTGTGTGTGTGTGTGTATGATGCATAGGCATTCACCTGTGTCAATTATATCAAACTATAGATAACATTGAGAAGTATAGGAATTAAAGAACACATCAGTCTGCTCCTGCCGAACCTGTGCACGGGCCAGGAGGCAGTCCTTAGAACAGAAGAAAGGCATATTGCCTGGTTTATAATTAAGAAAGTTGTCCACACAGCGGTATCCGTTCACCATACTTATTCAGTTTGTATACTGAGCAATTAATCTGAGAAGCTGGACTGTCTGAAGAAGAATGCAGCCTCAGGATCGAAGGAAGGCTTATTAATAGCCTATGATACACAGATGATACAACTTTGCTTGCTGAAAGCAAGGAGGACTTGTAGCACTTAATGATGCAAATCAAAGGCTGCAGCCTTCAGTATGGATTACAACTCACAGTAAAGAAAACCCAAATCCTCACAAATAGAACAATAGAAACGTGATGATACATGGATAAAAAAATTGAAGTTATCAAGGATTTCATTTTTTTCTTGGATCCACAATTAATGCCCATGGAAACAGCAGTCAAGAAATCAAACGACCAGCACCAAGGGTTAAATCTTCTCTACAAGACCTCTTTCACGTGTGGAAGAGCAGCCGCGTCACTTTGAGAACTGGGATGCACCACACTCAAACCATGGTATTTCCAATCGCCTCACATCCCTGTGAAAGTTGGACAATGCATAAAGGAGACTGAAGAAGAATTGTTACCTTTCAGCTAAGGTATTGTCAAAGAATACTGAAAGTACTGCGGCCTGCCAGGAGAACAGACAAATCTGTCTTGGAAGAAGTACAATGAGAATGCTCCGTAGACGCAAGGTGGTGAGGCTTTGTCTCGCGTATTTGGACATGCTGTCAGGGGGCCCTCCCTGGGAAAGGGCATCATGTTTGGGAAGGTGGAGGGCAGTGGAAAAGGGGAAGCCCCTTGACAGGATGGACGGACGCAGGGGCTGCAACAGTGAGCTCACACAACCATTCCTTCCCCCCTTTCTTCCTGTCTCTTCCTAGCGCCCCTCCTTTCCTTCTCTCTCTCCTCCTCTCCTTATCCCGGAATGGACCCTCAGAAACTCAGATGGGCAAACACAGCTGGCTGTCTCAGGGGCTCTGGTCAACAAAAGCACCAGCTTATCAATGAACAGATGAGTTGATTCATTGGAGACACTTTAAGAATGAGATAACAAAACAGTAAACGAATGAACTCTCCAGGGAGCAATTTCCACATAATAGCTATCGGGCTGGGCTTTAATTAAGTTTGCATTCAGTGCTGAAATGCAGGGCGGAGCTGGCAGCGCATTCGATGCCAGAATGACAGGTGGGAGGAAGGCTGGACCTTCTTTGGAAGAGAAATAAATTTCAATACAGAAAGTGCCATGCTTTCTGCTGTCATTCTGAACATTAACTCTCCCCATTTTAATAATGTCGATAAATAAATGTTGCTGAAAAGAAACCAAAAGATGCTGTCAAGTACAAACCAAAATTATCGCATCTATGAAATAATTGACAGATTTTTTTAAAAGATCCTACAATCTCGTGGGAATGCTGGAAACCTAAGCAGTAAGTACACAAATGGAATATCTGCGTCCTGTGTAACAAACTGAAGATTTGGCTGCATATTATAGGGCATATTTTTATTTACAAAGCATGAGCACATAGAAAACTAAAGTCTAGCTCTCTGCTGCATTTCCCTGGTCTGTGTGAAGGCCTGACTTAGACCTGCCTTACTGTGTTGTCTACATTTCTATTGGACTAGACAGGTTTTGTCTGACTCCCAGGAATATTTCTTTCTGTAAAAGAACGCTTGTACTATTACCCCAAGACAAACTCAGAAATTGGTCTGCTGCTGTTTGGTCCCCTCATATTGACTCATATTGGACTCATATCGACTCCGTGTGGCTGATTTGAACTCCCCCTGTTGGGTTTTCTAAGCTGGAGACATTATTGCAGGTCTTTCTCCCACAGAGCAACAGGGTGGGCCTAAATTGCTGACTTTTCCCCAAACCAAATTCATTTCCATAGACTCCAGGCTGGGTTTCAGAGACTGTAACTGTGTACTGGAGTCTCTCTTCCCGCAGAGCTGCGGGTGGTCTTGAACTGACCTGCATGCAGATCGCAGCCCAACACAAAACCACTATACCACCAGGGCTCCCACTGACTTTCAGTTAGTGGCAAATGCTGAACTGTTGTGCCATTAGGGTTCATTTGGAGAAATGTAAAATACCAAACCAAATTCACTGCCTTAGAACTGATTCTGAAGCACAGGGACCCAAACAGGGTTTCTAAGGTGAGAAAAACCTCTTCTGGTATCCCTATTGCCACAAGGGAGGGGCCAGACATGCCTCCAGCCTCCAACTTCCATTACCTGCTCCGACACCCCTCATTCCTCCCGCAGCACTCTCATTCGATGTCAGCCTCAATAATTCATTGCACTGGCCACATAGAACTCAGACAAAACTCACACGTATGGGGATTTTTTAGGGGCGATAGTAGGTTAGCACAAGTCAGGATCAGTAAATAGGAAAGATTCTGTCATTGATCCACAGCCAAGCAGCCACGTCTTTTCTCAGTCATCAGCTTCTCACCACGCGTGTCCCTGGTCCCTGCCTCCACGGACCAGGCACCTCACTTGTGCTGCCTCATTGTTCTCTACTCTCCGCGCTGCTCCTCTGCTCTTGCTCAGGGTCTCCTTGCCTTGGCCTCTGGTCTCAGCCTGGCTCCTATAGCCTCTGTGCCACAGTATCCGGTGCCCTTGGCCTTGGCCTCTGCCACTCTGGCAAAGATCTTGTTCTTTCTACAATGGCTCTGAGGTTTCTCTCTCTTCCTGCTTAGTCTACAGCCATTAGACTCAAAAACCAAACTCCCTGCCCTGCAGCCAATGCCGACCCATCATGGTGACCCTACAGGACAGACTGGAACTGCCCCTGTGAGTTTCTGAGTCTGTAACTGTTTATGGGAGTAGAAAGCCTCCTCTTTCTCCCATGGAGTGGCTGATGGTTTCAAACTGATGATCTTGTGGTTAGAAGCTCAATGTGTCATAACCACTTCACCACTAGAGCTCCCTATAGCCATGAGGGTGGTAATTTAAAATGACCAGTGCCCTCTGTTAGTGTTACACAGGCCCTACCCAATCTCTTGGTGGCAGTTACAAAGACAGGGGTGGAAGAGGCATCTTAAGAAGCGTCACTCTATCACACAAGGCTTTGTAAAGAGTCACAGGAACGCACAGCTTCATCTTTCTCTCTTAGAACTGATGAATGTGAACCACAGACTGTATTCAGCAGCCCAGTGCCTGCAGGACTCCTGGGAGCAGGGCTGTTGTTCTGTTGTTGCTGTGTGCCTTGCAGTCAGTTTGTCCTGTTGTGCATCATCCTCACCATTGATGGCATGTTTGAGGCTGTTGTTGTCCAGTGGCTAAACTCTCAGAAGTGCACCACCGATTCCATCTTTCAGCACAATCACTATCTGATGATGTCCCACTGCAATTCATAGAGTTTCCAGTGGCTAATCCTTCTGAAGTGGACCGTCTATTCCTCCTTCATAGGCTTTGCTTAGTCTGGAAGCTCCACTGAAGTTTGCTCACCTTGAGTGACCCTGGTGGTATTTGGAATAATGGTGACATAACTTTTAGCATCAGAGTAGCATGCAAGCCACCACAGCACGACCGACTGGCAGACAAATGGTGCAGGGGGAAGGCTAGAAGGTGGTCATTAGTCATCTTGAGGGTGGTTAACTCATCCTTGAAGTTCTGAAGATCCATTTCCCTGACTCCAGAGTTCTCTAAATAACTGCTTTTTATGACTAGATATCAAACCAAGAAATCATTCCTTAGCAGTTAATTTGATAATGGCATTTTTGAAATATACCTGGAGTTTTCAGCATGTATACTATATTGATGAAAAAAGAGTACGGATTTCTTCCTGGACATGTTTTAAAGAGCTGGTTTGTGTGTTTTTGCCCCTTAGTGATTCCTGCCACAACCGTCATTTCCAAGGCTGAAAAGACAAATACCACAGTGCCCAAGATTGTCATTCACTGGACGAGTCAAACAACCTTTGAAAAGCTTTCCTGTGAAATGAGATACAGGGCTACAACCAATGTGTCTTGGAATGTAAGCTGAACATTTATTCATTCACTCTATAAGCATATGAGCCAATGTTTGAAAAGGAAAGGCAATCAATTAGCCATGGACACAGTGGACTTATTTTTCAATCTGAGCTTTTACATGGATTTATCTGAGTTTTTACATGGATTTATGTTTTTTTAAATCTTTTAAACTCTCATTTTTCCTCTCCCTCCCACACTCTCCCTGCCCCCATGTCCCCTTGATAATTTATAAATTATTCTTTATTTTTTATGTCTTAAACCAACTGCGGTCTCCCTTCACCTACTTTTCTGCTGTCTTTCCCCCTGGAAGGGGGGGCGCATATGTCGATCATTGTGATCGGTTCCCCCTTACTCCCCCCACCCCTTCCCTTACCCTCCTAGTATCACTGCTCCCCTTATTGGTCATGAGGGGCTTATCTGTTCTGGATGCCCTGTGTTGCAAGCTCTTATCTGTGCCAGTACACATGTTCTGGTCTAGCCATATATATAAGATAGAGCATGTTTTTAATCCGATTATGTTCATGATATGCAAGCATTTCCAGTTTTAATCATGATTTCCTTGTGTTTCCAAACAGAGCTATTTCCTGCAATAGTCCTCTTGCCTTTTGTCTACGGCTAAACAATGTCTTGACCAAGAGGGATTCATTCATCTTGTTGGTCGTTACCTTAGAGTTAATTCCAACTCATAGTGAGCCATGTGTGTAGAGTAGGACTTCTCATAGGGTTTTCAAGAATACAGGCAAGCTTGACTTCTGAGGTGCCTCTGAGCCGGTTCAGACAGCTCAAGTTCAAGCTTGTGGCTGAGATCAGAACCCATCTGCAGCACCCAGGGCCTCCTTAGTCTACTGAGCCCCTTGTAATTCAGGGTTTCTTAGAGTGAGACATTTATCAGTGATTATGGTGCACCATTCAAGTAGTCTTGATGAAATTTAACAAATCACATAACAGGGCCTGTACATAATATGATGAGATTTCACTAATGTACAAGAGAAATCGTAACTGTGGTGAGGTGCGCATGCCTTAGACTAATCAAACATTTAAAGTCTAAAGGCAACATTCACCCTAGAACAAAGTTGGAAAGGGTTGGGCATAAAGGAGCAATGGAAACAGGAAGTGAGACAAATAATGTTACAGTGTGGGGGTTGTAATCAGTGACATTGTCATAGGTAGGTTTATTGTGCCAACCTCGCTAATAGGAACATGAGGATTAATCAGGTCGTAGTTTGATTGGAGGGCAGAGAGATATATGGCTCTACAAGGCCCGCCCCTGTCTCTCTTGCTCTCAACTATATTAAACTCAATGCAGATTAAGTATAAATTTTGCATGTGTTCACATTTCCTGAACCATGTACATTTTCTAAAGTGATGATCTGTGTCCAAGAGTACAAAATAAGGGCTATTGGAACATTTACTTCAGCAAGTAAGGAGGGAGGAGGAAGGAAGCAAATGAGCAACTATCTAAACAATATTGTCAGAATACAGAGCCAAAATAGTTTTAAAAAAGTGAAATTCACTCATGTGAGCTACAGGGGAATCTAATCTGGTGCAGAAAAAGACATTCCACCTGAGGTTTATTTTAAAACCAATGTCATTTTATTATTCTTAAATGTAGTGAATTGCCATTTGGATTAAAAAAATCAAGAAATGACGGTTCTGGCTGGTTCTTGATCCAGATAATCCACTGCAATTCCAACTCATGGCGGCCTTAGAGGATGGAGGAGAATTGCCCTTTTGGCCGGCTGAGGCTGTAGATTTGTACGAAGCAGTCTCCCATCTTTCCCACAGCAGAGAGAGGGCTGGTGGGTTTGACGGGCTGTTCCTTAGGTGAACAGCCCAACCCGGAAGCCAGAATGGATTACCAGTTTTTTGAGAGTTAAAATAAAATGACCTATGAGCATACTTAATTCTGAACAATATGATCAACATAATTTATTTTTTCTTTGGTGATTAGTGTGATTCAGAAGCATTATACTGTCTCAGCCTCAAATTCTGAACATCAGGCATTGCTTTTGAGGAATAATACGTTTTTCAGTCCATTGGAGGAGTTCATAAGTTGTGCCAATGGTCAAAGCTTGCCTGCTCACCAAGAGGTTGGCCATTAGGGTCCAGCGAGAGATGCCTTCGAAGAAAGGCCTGATGTTCAGATCTACTCTGGCCCACATGAGTCTCCACACGTCAGAACCAACCCAACAATAAATATCTACCAAATGTGTCCGAAGAGCAGCTAGAAGATGAAAAATAACACGTCATGGGTTTCGTGACTTTAAAGAGCTCTTGAAAAAGAAATCTTGCACAGAATCCACAAAAAAATAAAGCTTTGCCGAGAACGTGTTTGCTTAAATCCTAAGTGTGAACTTCACAGTTTGTTTGGATTACACTTATGTGAGAGTCTATGTTCTTCGTCATTTGACCAATAACCAAATGTTGGTCTTGCTAGAGTTCTTTTGCAAAGTAATTCTGGCATCAGGGTTTACAGTAACCGCATGCCTAATGCCCGGGACGCAGGGATAAAACAAAGCAAACTGCCACAGTCGCTCTGTCTGCATATATGGAATTTAGGTTCATTTCAGAATGGCCCCAGTCAAAATCTTGACCACTGAATGGAGTGAATGGGATTTTACTCTAGGACAGTGGTTCTCAACCTTTCTAATGCCGCAACCCTTTAATATAGTTCCTCATGTTGTGGTGACCCCTAATCACAAAATTTTTTTTTGTTTCTACTTCATAACTATAATTTTGCTACTGTTATGAATCGGGCAACCCCTGTGAAAGGGTCATTCGATCCCCAAAGGGGTTGGGACCCACAAGTTGAGAAGCGCTGCTCTAGGAGGACAGCTGAGGCCCTTTGTGTAGTGTCACTGTCCTTAAACCATGTTGAGAATATTAAACTCCCCCTTGGCATAAGTCCGACCCGTTGCCATTCAGAAACTTCTGATTGTTGGCATCCTCATGTATGTCAGAGTAGAATTGTGCTCCCTAGGGTTCTCAGTGGAGGATTTAGGAAAGAGATTACCAGGCCTTTCTTCCAAGGGATCTCTGAAATGTCCAACCTTTTGGTTAGCAGCTAACTGACTGCACCACCCATAGTATTAGGCTCCTTTAATATAAGTAATCTATTTCATCAAGTTGATTCTGATTCATATTCACCCTAAAAGACAGAGTAGAACTGTCTCATAGGATTTCCAAGGCTGTTGACCCCTGGCTGTGATTGTGGGGTCTTGTTGGCCATACTGAATAACACCAGGATGACCTGTTTCAATCAGATATGGTTTTTCTTTACCTGCTAAAAATAGGAATATATATATACATATATACGTATATATATGTATATATATACGCATGTATATGTATATGTATATATATTTACAGCATTAGTGCAGAGAGAAAAAAGCTCTTTATTGATCAAGACTTCTATGGACATCCAATGCAACAGGCATGTGTGTAGACATAGAAGTGCGTCTCACACCTGTCATTCCAGCATTGCGGGAATCTGTGATGCAGCCAATGGAAAAGAAATCGCCATCTAATCAGAAGTAAATGTTTGTAAAATCTTGAAAGCCTGGCAATCTAGCAGTTATTGAAATGCTGCTTCATGCAATAAAGATTAAAATGATTTTTTAAATTCACAGCTGAAGCCTATGGCTGCATCCTTCTCCCGGGAAGGAGCTGACAGGCTCAAACCACTGACTCTGTGGGCAGTAGTCAAGTACTTCAGTCCCTGCTCCCTCGGGGTTCCTTTTGACATCAGTAGTCCGGGGTCAAAGGAGCCCTTGGGGCATATTGGGCTGTGTGTTGGCTTGCTAACTGCTCTGTCAGCAGTTAAAAACCCCCAGCCACTCCTGAGGAGAAAGAAGAGACTGGCTACGCCCATGAAGACTCGCAGACTCAGAAACCCACGGAGGCCGCGCTCATCTGTCCTATAGGGCTTCCATGAATTGCAATCAGTTCGACAGCAGTGCATTTGGTTGAGATAGTAGGAGGTAATAGGCTAGGCGAATATCTAGGAAATAGAAGGGAATTAATTATATTATCACTGTCTTTGACAGAGTCTTTTGTAAACCTCCATCTTCTGGTTGAAGCTCTTGTTCTTTGCGCCCCCTGGTGGTGCCTTGTGTGCCATGGTGAGAACTGGTGATTTACAGAGAAACGCTGATCTTAATTTTCCAGGTTTTCTCTTTGTAATTGACTGGATGGCAGAGAGTTTTAGCGTTTCTCTTCATCGGAGGAAGGCGTACAAGGAAGCTAAAAGAATATTTGTCATCTCATTTAAGCTTTTCACTTAACAAACAACTTTTTTTTTTTTTTAAATCATAGGTCACTTTAGCTGTTGGTATCCAGTGGTTTCTGGACAGAATTACTGCTCAATAAATGTCCCCTGTTATTGTGAGTGGTGAGCTGCACGTTGAAGAAAGATAAGACTTTCTAGTCGTCTTAAAGAGTTACAGTCTCGGAACGAGTAGTTCTACTCTGTCCTGTGGGCTCACTGTGACCTGGAATAGAGTTGATAGCAGTGAATTTTGTTGTTGTTGTTGTTGTTATTCTTTATTATAGCCTCTGGAGTCTCTAAATGGGGCAAATAGTTACTGACGTACTCAGATCCTAAACCAAAGGTTAGTGCTTCAATCCCAAAGCATCTTGGAACACAGGCCTATGATCTGCTTCTGAAATGAGCCATCGGAACCCCGATGGAACACAATCCTACTCTGACTCACGTGGCGTCATGATAAATCAGAGCTCGTGTAGTGTAGCATGCCACAGCGATGCAGCACGGCGTGGCACTGCATAGTACAGCACGCCATGACATAGCATAGCATCGATGCGGGACTGGGCACAGAGCAGAAAAGGTAGTGGGATTTTCAGACAAGGAATCCTGTCTGAAAATCAAAGTGAGTCAATGAGAGCGGCTTTCTGTCTTGTTAGCTAAACTGCGTACGAGTTGTGAGGTATCGAAGGGAACCAGAATATTTGTCAACTGAGAAACAGTGCCAAATCAAAACTGAATTT